TTTTTTTTTAATGTCTCTTTTGCTGTACAGAAGCTCTTTAACTTGATGTAGTCCCATCTATTTATCCTTGCCTTCACTATTGTGGTGTTGGGTGCTCTGTCTTTAAAGATGTCGCTGAAGTGTATAGACACTATGCATTCTAAAGTGTTCAACCACAAAACATTTTCCTCTCTCCCCCCTACCTTTCCACAAAGCCCATTCTTCATAGAAACAGACATATATCTGGAGCAACTTGGAATTGTTTAAAATTAATTGCCATTTATTTAGCATCCAGTTGACCTTTCTCCTAGAAGGAAACACATTCAGTAATGAATACCTGAGAAATATTGGGTATGTAGGGAATAAGCAAAATATTTCATCACCCATTTTCCTTGGCGATCCATTATTTACTCATCCACAAGCTGAGAATTTCCTTTAATTTTCTGTGTGAATTAGCCTCCCTCAAAAACTATGTATGATCAATTCTTTTTGTCCTGGGCAGGACGAAGATCACCCCAGCTCTAAACAGGTTCTGTCATCTGCTGCATCAAAGCAAAATGTTTTCTAGTGCATAAAATCTTCCATGGAAAATTAACGAATACAATTAGTGACCAATAAAGAGAAGAGAAGGGAAAGAATAGAGAAAATCATTTCCACAAGCAACACCGAAATTTACCCATGCCCAATCAAACACAGTTAGTTAGGCCAAGGCAGGAACTCTGAAGCCCATGAGCTTGCCACAAATCTAAGTCTGGTGGGGGATCATTGGAAAGGGCCTGAAGTGCCCCAACAAGTCTAAAAGGAAAAGAGCAAAATCACAATCAAGATCAAGGCTGAAATTTTCACCCACCCGTGGATTTCTCACCCGCATCTGTTTCAAGCGTTTCCTTCCACATCCAAGACCCTGGAACCAGTCCAAGGCCGAAAAGCAAACGCTGCTCCTTCACATGTCTCTGCTCCATGTGCCTCCTCCAAATCTCCTTTTTGCTCTCCCTCCAAGTCTCAGTCTTCCTTCCTCTTCTCCTCCCTGCTCAGCTCCACCCTTCTGGGGGTGAGGCAGGGAACCAGGAACCTCCCCTTTCTTTGGGGGACTATCCTCACTTAAGTTACATCCTCATTTAGGATGAATTTCATTAGCTGTAAGTGATACTGACTTGAAAATTCTGTCTTTAGTATTGAGCTTAAAAAGGCCTTTTGGCCCTCCCTGGTGGTGCAGAGGGTTAAAGCACAGCACTGAGAAGCTAAAGCCACTTCAGCATGAGTTCGATTCCTGCCTGCCCCGGAGGGGATCACATGGCGCGGCAGACCTCTCCTGACCCGCCCGCTGCTCCCCTCAGCAGTGTACTTCGTCCATCTGCCTGTTCTGCAACCCACTCTGTCTCTGGTGAAGCCTCTCACCGCCCCTGAGCCTCTGGCCTGTACCCCAATTCTGTATGAATGAAAAAAAAAAAAGGCCTTTGTACCCCTCCTCTATTGGAGAAGAGTGACTGGAATATGGAAGTTATGGGCTTGTTATTTTCATAAGTGGGTCATGACTTTGACAGAATATTGCACTTTGACCAAAACTTTAAGTTTCCCTGTTTTGGTTATTTTTGAACTTGAAGGTCTACTGATCGTCCACTGTGTTGTGGCAGATGGAAATTCCACCAGAAGTCCTGAAGGTGACGGCCTGCTGTGTGGAAGCTCTGGAGAAAACTGTGCAGGTAATATTTAGTAAGTGATACATTTGTAGTTTACCAGTTTCATGTTCTGTCTCAGGAAGTTAAACTCCCTAAGTTTCAACGTTTTGAAAATGCAGTAACCTCAAAGCTACATGTAACAGACACTGTGTTGAGTGAGCATTAACTTATTGCTAACTGTGAAGTGGATGCTGTTTTTTACTATACTTCAAGCCTAGAAAGATTGAGTAATTTGCCAAAGATCACATTTTTAATAAATAGCACATTGGGATTCATGCTCATAATTTCTTATTCTAATGTGTCCATTCACCGTACTATATGAGTGTTCAAGAGGTGTGTGCTGGACTCTGGCTTGTGATATCTTAGGCGAGATTCGCAGAAAGTTGGCAAATTCTATTCAAATTAAAAAGGTTTTCCAATCCATAAATGAAAAGAAGGAAACAGAGTTTGTATTTTTTTAAAAAAGATTTCTTTATGCATACAAAAGTGGAGTACAGGCCAGAGGTGCAGGGGCAGTGAGAGAATTCACCAGAGACAGATTGGGGAGCGCAACAGGCTGGCTGATGAAGTACATTGCTGAAGGGAGCAGCAGGTGGTCCAGGAGAGGTCTGCTGCACCATGTGGGTCACCTCCGCTGAATCAAACTCATGCTGAAGTGGATTTAGCTTCTTAGTGCTGTGCTTTAACCGGCTGCACCACCAGGGAGAGCCCTGTTTTATGTATTTTACTGGGGAGATGCTTAGATTAGTATCTGCACACTGATTAGTCTCAGACAGAGGTCAGCATTGGTAAAGGGTTGGATTATACATACTTAGGCTTAGTAGCTCACGCAAACTTTGTCACAGCTAGTCACCACAGTTGCTGGGTTGTCAAAGCAGGTGTAGCACAATGCCAAAGAATGGCTTGTATTTACTATGTGTGTTGGGGTGAGAGTTCCCCTCCTCTCCTATAAGCAATTCTCCAGACACTGGCTAGGTGTACTGCAATTTAACTGATTTTTAACAGAACCCAGAAATAGCACTGGGTTTCACTGATGCTATTCATGACAGGGTTCATTTTCATAACACTGACCAGTCACTGATTCAGGTCCCAATTACAAGATTCTGACTGGCTGTAACTCATAGGGCTCCGCAATACCTCCTCAGGTTCAATTAATTCTCTTGAGTGGCTCACAAGAACTCAGGAAAATTTTACTCCCTCCTGAGATGATCGGTTTATTACTGTTCCACATGGAACAGACGCACAGGGCAAAGTAAGGGGAAAGGGCATACTCCATGTGCTCTGAGTATACCACTCGCCCAGACTCTGCACATGTTTACCAACACAGAACCTCTGGGTGGGGGGTGGAATGATGAGCATCCCAGCTCCCCAGAACTGTACATTCTAAATGGGTTCTGCCATCAGCTGCATACAAACAAAACAAACTCTTAGTGCTTAAGAACTTCAATAGAAAATAACTTGAATACAATTAATGCACAATAAAGAGAAGACAGAATAGAGTTAAAATAGCTTCCAATGAAACACTCAAAGTTACCCATCTGTTCATGAATAAATGTCCAGCGAAACAGGCTTGACCCAAACTGGGGTTGCTGATGGCTGAAAGCCTGCCACATTCTAAGGCCGCTTCTGCTGAGGACCCAGAGCAAAGGAGCAGAGGAGCCAGGCAGATCTGGAAGGAAGAATAAAATGAAGGAGCAAGTTAAGATAAAGTCTGCCACTGTCAACCTTCCCATGGTTCTCTCACCAAAGTCTGTCTCTTTTAAGTGTCTTCTTCCATGTACCTCAAGTTCCTGGTACAAGTCCAAGGCCAGGAAGCAAGTGTGGCTTCTTTACATATCTCCCTGCTCCGTGTGCTTCCTCCAGGTCTTCTTCCAAAGTCCTTTCCAGCTTCCCCCTCACAGGTCAGCTCCACCCTTCCCTAGGAATTGCAGGGAGCCTGGAACCTCCCCTTTCTATGGCTATTACACTGTTACACTCTCTGAACACTATCCTTTTTAGTTTTCCTAGAGGTTTCAAAAAACAGTCACAATTGATTAAATCAGTGACTTGGCAACTGTCAACCTCCAGGCCCTTTCTCCTCCCAGGAGGTCTGGGAGTGGAACTCAGAATTCCAAACTTTCAGTCACAGGGTTGGTTCCCCTGGCAACCAACCCCCATCCTTAGGCATATCCAAAAGTCACTTCATTAACATAACAGAAGACATCTTTGCCACATTTATCCCTTGAGAAATTCCAAGGGTTTCAGGAATTGGTAGAATTGGGTTTCTACCACAAATGAGGACAAAGAGAAAATGTATATATATTTCCATTATAAGTCACAATATCACGCCTTAGATGTGTTCCAATAAAACTAGAAGAAAACAAAACACTGGAACACATTTCATCCTTCGCCATAGTTTGCTGACACTGGACTAAGGCTCTATTTGTTTTTTATAGACTGTATAATCTGATCTTCCAAGGGGGATGTTTCTGACTTTAAAACACACACCAGTTCAAAAAGTAAGGTGGAGCACGTCCATCCTCCCAATCCTTGGAGACTTCTTCAACCTTGGGGTATGTGACTTGGTATTAAATGCTTCTTTCCTAGCACCCTGGGGAAGTCATAACTGAGCCAAGACCATGCCAGGCAGGCAGTCCTGATGTGAGTCATAAGTTCTAGTCCAATCTTCCTCTTTCTTCCCCTCACACGAGTGATTGGCCTGGAGGGTCCCTATAGGCTGTGGTATTCATTGGTGTCTTAGATCATTCCTGCCTGGATCTGTCAATCATGTTGGGGAAAGTACATTTCAATTTTTGTGTTTCTGTGTTATTTTCAATCTCCTTTAAAATATCTTAAATAATGGCACTTTTCACATTTCCTTTGGGAATTTATTCTATAAACCAATGATTACAGTATTAAAAAAATCTTCCTCACGGGCCCTCCCTGGTGGCGCAGTGGGTTAAAGCACAGCACTAAGAAGCTAAAGCTTCTTAGCATGAATTTGATCCCTGCCCCAGAGGTGACCCTCATGGTGCGGCAAACCTCTTCTGACTGGCCCATGGCTCCCCTCAGCAGTGTACTTTGTTGATCTGCTTGTTCTGCTAGGTCTCTGGTGAATCCTCCCACCACCCCTGCACTTCTGGCCTGTACCCAGTTCTGTATGCATACATAAATAAATATTTTAAAAAAATCTTCCTCATCACTATGGTAAATATATTTTCTAATTTTTTGCCCTAAAAATATCTAATAACAGATATGTTTAACAAAAATTGTTAGTGTAGTGTATAGCACAGTATTGTTTAGTGTGGGCATAATGTACATCAGATCTCAAGAAATAATCCATCTTGCTCAAATGAAACAGCTCATTTCTCCTCTACTCAGCCCCTGGCAACCACCATTCTACACTCTGCTATTTAGACACCTGGATATGGCTATTTGGATCCTTCAAACAAGTAGAATTGTGCCATGGTTGTCCTTCTGTAGTAGAAGATTAATTTGCTTAGTAAAATGTCCTCTGCATTTGTCCATGTTACTGCAGATTACCCTTCTTTTGGTTGAGGCCGGAAAAAAAGCCCGTCCTTGGAAAAAACAACTTTTCATTACTCATTAATCTCTCTGATAGATACTTAAGTTGTTTCATCTTTTGGCTATTATGAGCAATGCTGTAGTGAACATGTAACTAGCTCTTGAGATCTTGCTTTCAATTCTTTTGGATAAATACCTGGAAATGGAATTGTTGGACCATAACTGTAATTCAATTTTTCATGCTTTTGAAGAGTCTCCTTACTATTTCCCATAGTAATGACACCATTATACATTCCCATGACAGGGATTTTCCCACATGGTCATCAAATCTTGCTATCCTTGTGTTTTCCTTCTTTTTTTGATAACGGTTATCTAACAGGTATGAGGGGATATCTCATGTTGGTTTTGATTTTCACTTCTCCAATGATTAGTGATTTCATATAGCTTTTCATGCTAGGGACCAGGTCCCATCTGAGATAAGTAAGACAGAAGCTTGTTCTTTGGGCCACCTTCCAAAATCGGGTGGTAAATATGTGATCCTTCTCTAGGGAGATACTGGGAAAAGATGTTTGCCTGTTCTAGTCTTGTGCTAAATTGGGAAGGGGGCTGGGGAGAAGCCCACAGACTCTGATTTTGCTGGTCCCAACATGGGTAGCTGGTACCAGGCCTGTCAGCAATCTGACAGAAGTCAGCCTCCATGGGAAAATTTGGAGCTTTGTGAAGGCAGCCAAATGCTTCCCTACCCCAATGAGAAACTGGGACCTAGGGAGGTCCTTCTAATTATATGGGGCTATGCTGGGAACAAGGTGTCTTGAATTTCCTTACCAGCTTTGATGTGGCTGGTTTCATGTCACTCAAGGCATGAAAACCACACAAATTAGTTTGTGAATTTCTCACAAAAGAATATTTTTATGTTTTGTTGTTGAATAAGTGTGTTTATGGGAGTGGGAGAGGAAGAGACGCCAGTGCTTCCTATTTCACTGATGCTACTTTCCTGTTTCCTATTTTTTTTTATGCTGTATATATATGCTGCTATTGTATTTCTTTCCGATTTCCTTTGACTGAGAAAGAGAGAGAGAGAGAGAGAGAGAGAGAGAGAGAGAGAGAGAGAGAGAAAGACTAGGGAGATATCGGAGTAGAATTGGATTCAACAGGGTGAACAAACATTAATTCTTCAGTGAGTCTCCAGAGTAGAACTAGATATGAACGTAAAATCCCTAAAAATGTTAATTATGAAAAAACGAGTGTTTAAGTAAAATAAAAAATATATATCATCTTTTGGAATGTCTCCACTCTGGATAATATGCTTTGACAAAATGGTGACTGTGTCACTTGAGCAGGGGGTGAGACCAACACAGTTCTGGGGGTTACTGAGAGAGATGTGATGATGGGAAGGTCCTCTTCTTTTGAAGAAGGAAGATTTGGGCTGGAAACAGAAAAATGCCTGAGAGAAAATAATTTGGAATAGGGAGCTGGGAATAATAAAGACAATAGAACAGGAGCAGATCTCTATAAACTGG